ACGTCACTTCTGGTTTATCTATCTATCTATCTATCTATCTATCTATCTATCTATCTATCTATCCCACATTGTTCATATACGTCACTTCTGGTTTATCTATCTATCTATCTATCTATCTATCTATCTATCTATCTATCTATCTATCTATCCCACATTGTTCATATACGTCACTTCTGGTTTATCTATTCATCTATCTATCTATCATCTATCTATCTATCTATCTATCTATCTATCTATCTATCCCACATTGTTCATATACGTCACTACTGGTTTATCTATCTATCTATCTATCTATCTATCTATCTATCTATCTATCTATCTATCTATCCCACATTGTTCATATACGTCACTACTGGTTTATCTATCTATCTATCTATCTATCTATCTATCTATCTATCTATCTATCTATCCCACATTGTTCATATACGTCACTACTGGTTTATCTATCTATCTATCTATCTATCTATCTATCTATCTATCTATCTATCATCTATCTATCTATCCCACATTGTTCATATACGTCACTTCTGATCTATCTATCTATCTATCAGAATATATTATACTATGTATTTATCGTATCTCAGTCTGTCTATCTATCTTTCTATTTAGTTACTTAATTTTTATTTCTGTCCTGTGTTTTCTTATTTTGATTGTAAATTCTTGCGAATTATTTATAGTCTAAAAGTTTTTATTTTTATTTTCCCTTTAGTCCTTTTTTTCCTCCTCCTCCTCCTTCTTCTTCTTCTTTTTCTTCTTCTTTTTCTTCTTCTTTTTCTTCTTTTTCCTCTTCTTCTTCTTCTCGAACTACAATTTGAAAGATATACATAAGTGTAATAAATGCTAACACACGTGTATTAACGCTAATGTCTTCGCTCGTACCTTTACAAATTCTGTCTTTTCCGTCTGTTTCTTTATCTTTAACGAATTCAACCTTATTTTTCTTTTTTCTTTTTTACTTAAAATTCTTTCGTAATTTTTTTCGTGTCCTTTCGAAAGCTTATTTCTCTTTCATTTTTATCCCGCGTGCCAGCAGAGAGAGCAAAATACATCCCCCCCTTCACTGCAGTTTTGCACGTTATTTGACGTACACATTTTTAATAGCATTTTTTAGTATTCTTCAGATCCCCGTGAAACGAAGAGAAATTCTTCGCGAAATAAGGGAGAAAAAGACGAAAGAAAAATAATAGCCTCAAGTTTAAAATTATGGAAAGGAAGGCTAATTGATGTTGAATGGAAAGGCATAAGAAGGAGAAGGACACTAACAAGAAATATTTGATAAAAATTGAGGTAGAAAGAGGGAAGGAGACAAAAGAAGAGAACGAACGTGAATGAAAAATATGACTAAAAGTAAAAGAAAAATATGAAAGAAAGAAAGAAGAAGAAAAATGGATACAGAATAGATTGAAATGGCTGATGATAAAAGAAAAAGAGAGAAACAGGGAACGAAAAGCATATTTAGAGGTAAAAGAAAAACTAAGAAAGAAAGGAAAAAAAGGAAAAATAATAAGAAGAAGAACAGGAACAAGATGACGATGAAGAAGAAGAAAAAGAAGAAATGGTTGATGAAAGAGAGAAGACAAAAGTGGAGAGAGATAGAGTGAATGAAAAAGGATGACAAGAAGTAAAAGAAAAACTAAGAAAAATAGATAAGAAGATTATGATGATGATGAAGAAGAAGATGATAGTGATGAAGAAGAAAAAGGTGATGATGATGATGAAGAAGAAGAAGAAAAAGAAAAAATGTTGATGAGAAAGAGAAGGCAAAAGTGGAGAGAGATAGAGTGAAATAAAAGGATGACTAAAAGTAAAAAAAACTAAGAAAGATGAAGAAGAAGGTGATGATGATGATGATGATGAAGAAGAAGAAGGTGATGATGATGATGATGATGAAGACGAAGAAGGTGATGATGATGATAAAGAAGGTGATGATGATGAAGAAGAAGAAGGTGATGATGATGATGATGATGAAGTTGATGATGATGATGATGATGAAGAAGAAGAAGAAGTTGATGATGATGATGATGATGATGAAGAAGAAGGTGATGATGATGAAGAAGAAGAAGAAGAAGGTGATGATGAGGAAGAAGAAGAAGAAGAAGAAGAAGAAGGTGATGATGATGAAGAAGAAGAAGAAGGTGAAGAAGAAGAAGAAATGGTTGATGAAAGTGAGAAGACAAAAACGGTGAGAGACAGAGTGAAGCAAAAAGATGACTAAAAATAAAAGAAAGAAGAAGAATTATTTGAAGGTGAAGGAAAAAGGGGGAAGAGAATTTAGAGGAAAGTAAAAGAAATAGCAAGATACAGAGCAAAAAGAAGACGAAGAAAAAGACAAAGAAGAATAAGAAAAAGAGGGAAGCCAGTACATGTTTCAGACTTGCGTATTCCCTTCTAACCATAGTAAATAAAGTAACTGTTTTTCAAATGTAAAAATGAAATTTGTCTGAGTAATAAAGAAAGCACAAAAGAAAATCTGAAGTTGGCATAAATAAACTTCATTCAT